TAATAACCACATATCATACCCTGATATAATAATTCCAAAACTAACACCACATTTTAAGGTAACTAATACAGAGTGCAGGAGGTGTCTCCTGCAGTGAGAAAGCAGAAATGCAAAACTACAAAAAACATGAAAAATCAAGAAAACATACTATAACCAAAAGATAATAATTCATCAATCACTAGCTCAAAGGCATAGAATTTTGTGGCCTGACTGATGCATCATTCAAAATAGTTATGTTAAAGAAACTCAACAAGGTACAAGAAATCTCAGAAAGTTAATATTGTGAAATGAGGGGCAAAATATATGAAAAAAATGAGGTATCCAAGAAACATGAATTGTTAAAAAGAAACACTAATCCTGCAGCTGAACAATTGAATGACAAAAGCAAAATAAATAAGTAAAAACCAGTAGAGAACATCTGAATCAGAGTAGAGAAATGAAAGGAAAACAGAATAAACAGGTTAGATGGTAGATAATTCTAGAGAATTAGAGGAGGACAAAGAGAAAAGCTTGAAAAGAGAAAACAAAGGCTACATGATTTATAGGATTCCATAAGATGAACAAAGATTAGAATACTAAGAACCCAGCGGAGAAATTGGGAGCAGAATGTTTATTTAAAGAAATAATAGGTGCACCTTTCCCAATCATGGGATAGGAACTGGACATCTAAGAAAACATACAAGAAATGCAATTTTCTCTCAGTGCATGAACAATTTCTATAGGAGCCTTTGTAATGAAAAACAAAGATAAGGAGAGAATCTTGAAGACATCCAGGATACAAAAGATATAACCTACAAAGGAATCTCTATCAGGCCATGAAAGGAAGCCCATCATCAGTTCTTTACACTGAAATGAGAAATGTTAATTGGTGACATGAAAACTTATGAAAACATGAAACATACTGGCAAACACAAAGGTAAATTTTTAGAATATTCTAATCTGTAATAGGGATAGTTTGTTAATCATGTAACTATAGTATGAAGGTTAAAGGAAAGAATGCTAAAAATAACTATAACTCTTATAATGGTTAATGTATATATAACTAAAGGAAGCAAATTTTGAGCCTAAATTTTAAAAGGGGGAGTGAAATGGTGGGGTTTTTGTATGTGGCAAAGTAAGTTGCTGTAAACTTAAAATGAACAGTTTTATCAATGAGATGCTTTATGTAAGCCTCATGGTAACCACAAAATAGAAACCGAGATTAGATTCACAAAACATAATTAGGAATGGAAAACAACCTATGATCTTGGAAAATCACCCATTTAGAAAAGGTGGGAGAAACAGAGGGAAAAAAATGGAAATACAAACAACCAGAAAGTAATTAATAAGGATGACACTTGTAAGTCCTTATCAATAATTACTCCAACTGTAAATGGATTGAATTCAGTAACCAAAAGGCACTTAGTGGCTAAATGGATTAAAAAAACAAGACCAGCTATATGATGCTTACAAGAGACTCATTTCAGCTTTAAGGAAACACAGAGTCTCAAAGTTTAGGGATGAGAAAAGTTTCCATGCAAGGACAAAACAGAAGAAAGTAAGAGTAACTATACTCGTACCAGGCAGAATAGACCTTGAGCCAAAAATGGTAAGAAGAGACAAAGAAAGTTAATATGTAATGGTATGGGGATCAATTCATGAGAAGTTACAATATTTACAAATATACGTGTACCCACTATTGGAATCCCTAACTATATTAAGCAAACACTAACCAATTAAGGGAAAAATAAACAATAATATAATACAGTGGAACTTCAGTACACCATTTGGATCAATGGATAGATCATCCACAGACAATCAATGAGGAATTGTTTTTTCAACCAAATATTAGACCAAATGACCAAACAGATATAGACAGAGCCTATTATGCAATAATAGCATCAAAAAGTTGAGATATATTTACACAATGGACTATTACCGTTCAAAAAAGGACAAATTCGTGCCATCCGCGACAACATAGATGCAGCTGGAAGGGATTGTGCTAGCCGAAATAAGTCAGAAGGAAAAAGATAATATTGGATGCTCTCGGTTATATGAGGAATGTAGAGAAACTGAACAAAAGGTCAAGAAAAATGAGCAAGTTGACCATCGATCTCAGGCAGATAGCATAGGAAGGAGAGAGAGAAGCCACAGTAGGGCGGGACCGCATGGAAATATGGTGATGTTTCATGGGTGATATATTGGTGGGATAACAATGAGGACAAAAAAAGATGTAAAAATTATGCAATGGTAGAATACATTGTTTTCAAATTCACAGAACATTCTCCAGAGTAGATCATATGAAAGAAAGGATCCAACATAAGTCTCCACAACTTAAGAAGATAGAATATCCCCAGAAGTTTTTCCTATCATGGTGGTATGAAACTGGAAATGAAAAAAATACATACAAATAGTTGGAAATTATACAACATAATCCTGACAAACCAGTGCATCAAAGAAAAATCAAAGGGTAATAAGAAGTACGTTGAAACAGATGGAAGTACAAAATATCAAAACATATGAGGTGCTGGAAAAAAACTTCTAGTTGATGTTTGTGGTGATAAATGCCCTGGCAAGATGATTCCAGGGGTGAGCACAGACAGGATTGCAGGGACAGGCCTTATTAGCCTGGCTCCTGACATCCTGGAACAGCTTTTCTTCCTGTCCCCAGTGTTACCCTCATTGTTTTGTAAACTTCCAATTCCTGATCACCGTGGGGTTTTATTGGACTGTGTAATAGAAAGTGTCTCTCTGGTTCCTAGTAAAAGCCATTGTTTTAGTTAAAAAAGGTTTGGTCGCTGGTGAGCTCTGTCTTCCTGGCTTGCAGGGAGGGAGGGAGGAAGGGAGGGGAAATTGGGAGGGGGAGAAGGAGAAGCAGGAGATGGAGAAGAAGAGGAGGAGGAGAAGTAGTTGTGGGGAAGGAATGACTATCTCTGGGTCTGTTCCCATGAGGGCACTTACCCCACCATGAAGGCCTTCACCATGAGCTCATCTCCCCTAATGATCTCCCAACACACTCTCTCAATCACCCCGGAATTAGGGCCTCAGCAAATGAATTTGATGGGAGGGGGACACAAACCTTTAGTCCTTAACACACCCCCTCCTCTATTCGTTCTCATTTTTTATATCCTGTTCCTCAGAGAGAGACTTTCTTCTCTGTCAGTGCAATTTTACATCTTCATTTAACCAATTCCCATTTTATTCTTGTGGTTTGGTCTTGCCTTAGAATCCATCGCCTTCCATCCCTATCCCTTAAGGGACATTCTTTCCCATTGCATTTGGGGTCACTTATCCTCTTATTCTGGAAATCCCCTAAATCTGTTGATAAGGTGACCTCCAATTTCTGGGTTTCTGGGAGCTCCACTTTCAATGACTCATTCCACTCACCATGTGAACATAACCTTTACCAACCTTATAATTCGGGACGCCTCTAATCTTGCTCCTATCCTTGGCTCACTGTCCCCCCATGTTGATGATCTTGTGATTCCCATCCCTACTCCCTTCATTCCCTATTACTTCATTGTTCCTGAGGTCCCTTAGCAACTGTTACCTCGGACACGTGTGTAATCCTTTAATCCCGACCCTGCTTTGATGGCAGCTTTTCTCCCGCTACTACTATCACAGAAAACCCTGTTCCTGCATAATCACATTCTCTATCCCGATTTGCTTCTTCCCAGCTTTTTTTTTTTTTTTTGAGATCCATTGAGCATAGCCTCTGAATCTCATTTAATAATCATACTGCTTAAAAGTCTGAGGCATTTATCAAAACTTTTTATTCATACACAGCAATTTTAGCTTGAAAACAAACTTTAATCTTTGGTATATGATACTTCTCAGTTAAAGGCAATTATAGATCCATTAAACAAATATCCAACAAAGAGTATTCAGCAAATGTTAACTAGACATTGTGGTTTTCAGGGCACAGCGTAGTGAGAGGCAGGCATGATGCTCTGTGGGGTTCAGCTTCTATTACCATTTTAACTTATCACATTAGGACATCCTCCAGCTCTTACTTCCAGTATTTTCTAGGTGACAAGGGCGAACTTGCCCTTCAAGAACTGTGTCTTTTAAATAGGATTTCTTCTGCAGATAGGGTCATTTGAGCTGACACTGGGATAGGCTTGAAGTCCGTTGGGGACAACGACAGCACAGGCAGCACTCCTGTCTTCCACGCTGAAGAGCCAAGTCCTGTGACTGCTGTTCCATGGACTGTTGTCACTGCTATGGAGAGAGTTACTGTAAATGGAAGCCAGTGGATGATGCGCTTAGGTCCAACAAAGTAATTTCATTTTTGTTTAGGATTCAATATAAAAATATTGATTTGAAGAAATATGTGTACTCCTATGTCAATTGCAGCACTATTTACAATAGCCACCTTACGGAAACAAGCTAAGTACCCCATAGATGAGTGGGTAAAGAAGATGTGACATCTATACAGAATGGACTACTACTCAGCTAGAAAGAGATGAAATCTTGCCAGTTTGTTGAAACAACCAATAGCTATCTTTTGGAATGCTATAGCAGTCTGTAATGACTTGATTTCCCTCTATGAAAACTACATTTTCTGATAATTTATGATGTGCTAGGGAGGATGGGGAGTTTGGCATGGGTTTTAGAAGAATCCTTAGACCTAGAGGTCAGAAGTAAAGCAAATATTTATTGAGAGTATTTTCTGAGAGGACAGGGCAGAGGTCAAATTGCCTGCCTGCACGTGAGTAGGGGCAGGATCTAGCATTTACAGTCAAGCTTATTCTGCCTTGTGTTTTCTGGCTTTGCTTAGTTAGCAAGCTCTGCATGCATCCCCTTCCCAGAATAAAGGAGCAGGAACTTTCTGTGAGAACTGTGGGATAGGAAATGTTGCCGGTGGTTGGGGTACTGATAGGGCAATAGCTTTTGACCCAGTTTAACCTCATCAATTTATATAAAATTGCATATTTAAGAAAATAATATTCTGTATAATAGTTTAAACTATGAAGAATATATATATATAGTAAAATGTTTTTAAAGTAGAAGGAATCATGACAAAGTAAAGTGAAGACCTTTCACAGAAAATATTTAATTCTTGAAATATTAGTTGATTTGTTTTTAGATGTTTCATTGGATAAGTGGAAATAATGGGATCTCATTGTGAGGAGATGTCTGAGCATTGTTCGTACTGGGGCTTTTTTGTGGTCACTGAATATTATCTTTCAAGTCATTGAGCACAACCTGCTTTGTGATTTTGGTCCAGTCATCAGGGATTTCACCCCTCCCAGCAAACTTGTTCTTATATTTTTCTTGTAACTCTGATCTGAAGTGACAGACAAACCATTTCCAGTATGACTGGGAGGATAAGTCTGGGGTGATGCTCCATGTGGCATATTCCCCTCCTGCCTGTCGGTAGGCCTTATATGGGATTTCTCTGCCATCATGCAGAACCAATGAACATTCACTTGCTACCAAACTAGTACAGAAATCGATGACAAAGTGGTCTGTCTCGTACCATGCCACTCCTATGACAGCCTGAGGACGGTGGAAGGGAACACTGTGGTCTCCTTCATGTGCAGAGATTGTGTTCGTACAAATTGCCCCACAGGCGGGACACCGTTTCCAGCAGCCACAGAGATGTTCAGAGAGCTTTTCCGCGATTGCAGGAACCATTTCTTCTGCAGACTTGCTCAGACAATTCTGTTCCACTGTCTTCATTGCGGGATCCAAAGCTTCACTCATGGCTTCTTTGAGGAAATCATTATCTTTTATCTCCTGGTGTTCAATGCCTACCAAGTCCTTTCGAGGCAAGATCAGTTTCTCGCTCAGCTGATCACAGAACATATCCAGCCACTCAGACACGGTGCTGCCTTTATCTTTAGCTATTTCTGTGGATTTGTGAATGGCTGAGAGAATGGTATTTTTTATTTCATCTAACCTTAGTTTTAACATATCCTTCACTTTGTTACTTTCTTTGTCTGAACAGTATCTTTGAATATGACTTTCAATGTAATTCCTGAAAAATGATTGTGGATGATGAAGGTACTGCCAGTAGTTATCAAAATTCTCTTCTTCTGCTAGAGAGATGAGAATGTGTTTCTCCAGGTTGGCCCTGTTTCCATTGAAAGCGGAACAAGTTGCTCGAATATCACCTGAAATGTCACGAACCATTAGTCCATGGATGGTAGTTGAGACAGCAGGAGTGATCTTGTTCCAGAGAAAATCAACAAATGTTTTGATTGAAGTTGCTCCCTGACAAGAGATCTTAAAACTCATGAAGAAATCTTCTTTCTTGCTCTCCAGGTAGTTGACAGGATCATTTGCTCGCTTGAATGCCCTGTGTATCTCCTTAAATTCTACTGATGCACTTTGGAATAAACTTGAAGACAAATCCATTTTATATCTACTTGTAAATGTGTATCTCTCCTTAGTTGGTGCAGATTTCACCTCTTCATCTATTATTGTCAGGATTTCGTGGAAATAACTTGAATTGTAATCATGCTGTTGCTTCCTAATGTTGGCGATAGCTTCTTCATATCTTGAGACTATGTGAATAGTCGTCATTTTAATGGATTCTATATCTTCCACATTTAAGCGCTTTGTAATGATATAGTAACTCTTTCTCATTTGAACATGTTTGTCATGATCTATTTGAAACTTCCTCCCAGAATTTTCTTTCAATATGTTCACCACATTTTTCTCCTTGTTGAAATGTTGCAAAAGGATGTTTTCTGCATCCACATCAATTTGTGGCTCTGGAATTGGCTGGTGTGTTGAGGACACTTCAGAGACCCATTTTTGCCAAAGTTCATTGAATTTTTCACATAGTTCATTCTCACTCAGTTGTTGGCCCTTTACAGTTAAAGCCAACTCTCGACTTCTTTTTAATAATTCCATTTCATAACTTGATTTTTTGTTATCCAGTTTTTCTTGACTTTTTTTAAAACTGATCAGTTCATTCACTTTTCTTTGGCTCTCTAAAATAAGTTTCTCTCTAAGGATTATTAACTTATTCTCAAAATTTGCTTTCCACTGAACCAGTATTTCGCTATCTGGATCTTCATTAAAATATTTTTCAAATTCTTGCTTGATGGCTTCACATTTTGCTGCGACAGGAACATGAAGTTCTTCTGTCATGAGTATTTTGGTTTTCCCATTCTGAATCTGGTTGATCAGCTTGTCCTGCAAGCCCAGCACATGACTCCTCAGCTCCCAGGTCCAGGAGTTGTACATGGTCTCCAGTTTGCTCATGGCCACGACCTCTTGGGTGTTCCTGAAACTGAAAATGAAGTTCTCACTCACGAGTGCTCTCCACAAGTCTTGAACTCGCAGTTTTACATCCGATATCTTCATGATGCTTCCCCTGGCCTCCTGCTGGGCGGTCAGGAGAATTCTGCTCTTCAGGTCCTGGACATTGTGACTGTAGCGAGGATTAGGAGGGGCCATTGGGGGGTTGCCGTCCCAGAGGTGAGCGAAGTAGCAGACATGAGTGTTAACATCAAACTTAATGACATCGCTGAAGTGGGTCACATCTGAGCACTGTTCCTGCTCAGCTGCTGTCGCCGCCATCTCATCCAGTCTCTGCTCTAGCCGCCTCCGCCCTTCCATGGTCTGGTATTCAGCTGTGATTTCCCCCACGTTCTGATGGACAAAGAGGCAACTCGGAGAGATTTTCACTTGTTTCATCCTCAGAAAGGCCTGGACAACTATCTGTAGAATGTCTTGCATTTCTGATGGATTCTCTCCAAAAATATTGATCAGAGTCAAGTTTGCAAGTCCAATGACAAAGGTTGCCAACTCATTGTCCCGATTCTGGGATTTGTTGTTGAGTTCTGGGGCTCGAAGGCCTTCTGTGTCCACCACCAGGACAAAATCAAAGCCAAGTTCTTCTGTGAATGTCTCCTCCACCCTCAGGAGCTGCATGTAGGCTCCTCGAGTGCACCTCCCTGCACTCACCGTGAACTGCAGCCCAAAAAGGGCATTCAGCAGGGTGGACTTCCCTGAGCTCTGCAGGCCAAGGATAGAGAGAACAAACAGTCGTTTGTCCCCAAGTTTCTCAGAGACCTTGTCAAACACAGCTGCCACCCACTTCAGAGGCACATAGGAAGCATCCCCATCCATCAGCTCAATGGGAACCCCAGCGATCATCAGATTCGCAGCAATCTGGGGGAGAAACAGAAAAAGTTTATCCTTTGTGGAGGAAGCTTCTTCCAGAGCTTCATAGATCTGGCCCACTTCTCTGAGAAGTTGCTCAATCCCCAGAGAACAGTCATTAATCTTTCTGGAGAGAGCTTCTATCTTACATTCCCAGTCTTTTAGATGGCTGCTCTTTGGTACATTTTGCTTTTCTGTTTGTATCTGTGACCACAAAGTCTTTTTCTTTTTATTCAGTTCTTCCAAGTGTCCAGCTGTAATATTGTCCAAAAACACACTCATCCATTGGAGGAAATAAAGTTTAGTATGAGTTTCTGAATACAGATGAAGAATTTCAAGAATAGATCGCATGAAATCATTGAAAGGAAAGGCTCTGGTCAACTGTTGTTGCCGTATTCTTTGTTTCTCCTTCTCAATTTCACTCTTGTGTTGTTCAATGCTCCGATTCCCCTTCTCTCTCAGATGGTACAGTTCTTTGTCCTTCTTACACCAAAGGTGCCAGAGTTGTCCCTGAAGGGGCAGTAGGTTTTCCTTCATCTGCGAGATCTGCATCTCCCTCAGTAGTGCCATTAGAGTCTCTGCCTTTTCCTTGGCCTCCTTGCAATCTCTCTGGTCCTCATCAATGAGGAATCCCTGCTGGCGAGCAATCTGGGCACAGGCCTGTAAGCTGAGAGCAGCATCAGATCGCTCTAGCAAACCCTGGATTGTAGTTGCGAGCTCTTCTGTTAATTCTGCCTCATTTCTGTTTCTGATTCCTATCTTCACTCTTTGGGCAGACTTACTGCCCATTATTTTTTCTTTGTCATCAAGCAAAAAGATCAAAGGTTTTGATGACTGACACAGGTCATTGACAGTTTTTCTGTTTTCTTTATTATTGCCATCATTGGTTGACATGAGGACCACAAGGAGAGAAGAAACCTTCTGCAGGAAGGTGAGTTGCTCCTCGTGTTCCTTTGCATCTCCATGGAGATTGGTGAAGGTCAGGCAGGTATGAAATCTGTCCTCCTCTTTCCCCCCGGGACAGAACCAGCAGATTTCCACCACACCTCCCATCAAGAGACAGTCTTTGCTGCTCCCTCTGCAGTGTCGGTGAAAAAAGACATCATGTTTCCGTTTACTGACAAGACAGTTCATGATCTGAGATTTGGAAGCAGAGAGGCCATTTCCAACTCGAATAAAGGACACAATGGGGGTAGAGACCCGGCACATCTGCTGATTCCTGTAATTGCTCTTCTCGGTTGCTGATGTCCTTGACTGTTGCCAGGTTTTCCTAATTTGACTGAGAGACCAGAGAGAGAATTCAATTTGAGAAGTGCAGGGGTTAGGTATTAGAAGGGGAAGGGCAAACTGACAAATGGCAAGTTTGCCCAAAATATATTGTCTGGCAAAATCATCTGCACAGTGAAGAATTGCCATCTGAATATCCATAGGGTGGATGTGGGGCCTGGGAGTAGGTGCTGAAGAACTAGTGGGACCTTCACTATCTTCAAAAAGGTCTGCATATGGATCAAAAGGCTCATTTTCATGACTTGTGGTGCTTGGGCAGTCTTGCATCTCTGTGTTTCCATCATCTTTGAAGACCAGGTATCTCAGCCCATAATCCAGCATGAGCAGCTTCTGTAGGAAGTAGAAGGGAAGGTCCTGTTCAGAGCTGGGCTGGGTGTTATTCACAGAAGCTCTGTAGATCAAATGGAAGTCAGCTCTGCTCATCCTTTTTGGGTAGTAATGCTCTAGGCCTAGACGCTGGAGTAATTCTAGCAAGGGCCTATTTTCTGTGACTTCCCTTTTGTTAATTTCATTTTCTTGCGATTCTTGGGGTGGGTTCTTTTCATGGAAGATATTTTGCAATTGTTTCATCACCTCTTTCACTTGCAATGGAGACCTGGTGGCTTCATAATTGCCATCAATTAGCAATTTCAAGTCTTTCTCCAGGTTTTCCCAGTCATGAAATGCTCCATATTTGGTGAGCACATGTGCAACTTCTTCAGATAATGATTGTCCCAGGTGCTGTCTTATTAATTCCAAGTGTTGTATTTTCTCTTGTGGAGAAAGAGCTGTGACTCTAGCAGTGGCTGTCAGCCCTGTGAGCACCAGGAACGCATGAGCTCTGTAGCTGCAAGTACTTTTGAGTTCCTGGTATTGCTTGTGTGTTCTTTGCATTTCATTCACTAAGAAGTCTAATTGTGTATACTCTAAAATAGATTGAAAAGTTTTGTTTACCGCATGGTATCCTGCACCCATTGCAATGCAAAGTAGCAAGACTTGTATGTCTGGCTGCTCATTTTCTTGGAGCTTATTCAAGAAACAGCCAAGAGCCAAGCTAACCTCATAAGTAGCCTTTCTTTGCACTTCCTCTACTGTTTCTAGAGACTCCGATTCGGTCTTCACTTCCATGATATCATTCTGGGCTTCTTTTAAGATTTTTATTAGTTCAGAAAATTGGGAGATGTTGACAGGCTCTTTTGCTGACTCTGACTGGAAGATCCATTGCATGATGGAATGAGCCTGAGGAAAGTTTGTCACGCTGTAGATGTGGGGATCCAGGAGGATGCGCAACTGAGATTTAACAAATTTGGTGTTATAAGTGGAAACGTTTTTGCAATGGCTGACAGTGTTTAACAGAAAATTCTGCAAACCCCCATCTGTAAGGCATATGTTAATCCAAGTGCCATAACTTCTTACTTTTTCATTCAACATTTCCTTGAAATCTATCAGTCTCTTTAGTTGCACTTCAGGATCAGCCACCTCCCAGGATTCCACATGCTCTAGGAAAGCCCGAGCCTGTGCCCCAGCACTCAGTGATTCTTCCCCCTCCTGGATGTGGGCTTTGAGGCCAGTCAGTGCAGTGTAGCAGTCTGTCAGGAATTTCGCTACCAGAAGCGGGTCCTTGAAATCACTCCTGTGGCTGGAGAGGATGATGTCCCAGACGGGCACCAGCTGAAGTCCCCTGTCAATGACACACCAGGTTTGATTACTGGCCACGAGGCCAGCTTTCCACTGAATGAGGCTGTTTGCCTCTGGTGGGCCCCCTGTCTGTGCAGTAAATAATTGGACTTTAGTTTGGAGGCTTTGGAAGGTGGTTTTCTGAGAAACTGCTTTTGAATGTGATGCTGACACATCCACCCCTGCGGCACCATGCACTCCAAAGCCACTGAAGCTGCCCCTTATGTAACTATCCAGGGCCTCTGCTGCCTGCTGTTTCACTTCTGCCAGCTGCTGCCTCTGGAAACCCTCTGCAGTGGCTTTCCACCAGTAGATTCCTCCCAGATGCAGAGGGCCCTGGTTAGCATGAGAGCCAAACCTGTGGAAGAAGGTTTCAGCCTTGTCTCTCAGCTGGAGGTGTCTGTCTGGGCCTGCAGGCTGACCCAGGAGGCCTTCAATGCATTGCAGTTCCTGGAGAGCAGCCTTGGAGAACTGAAGCTGATGAACAGGAAAGTGGCAGGAGGCCAGGGGGACATAGCTGAACTTGGTTGAACAAAAATAGGAATGCTGAGAATGTGATTGTCCGGTTGCCTTGGAATCTGAGTGTTTGCTGTAATCTGTACCGGCTTCCAGGCTAAATCCCCAACCTCCACCCTTGGCTGTAGCAGTTACACTGAAGCCCAGTTTTTCCATAGTCTGCGTGAAGGTGGATTCGTCTTTAGAAGATGTAAATTCTTTTGTTTCCATGCGTGGGCCCTGCTCAGGGCCAGCAAGTGAGAACTGTGTGGGGACACTGAGTAGCTCTTCTCTCTTCTCTAACAGGCCTCTTTCAGAGCTGGTTTTGTAAATTCCCTGCAGCGCCAGTCCTCCGGATGCCCATCTCACCAGCTCTCTGTCCGGGAGGTTTTGTCTGTGGGACAGTGTCCCCTCTATGAGGTGAAGTTGTCTCTGCATGTTTTCCATGACTTCTTTTAGGGATGTTTGTGGTGGTGGCCAGTACTCTTTGGGGATGTCCATTGCTTGCCTCAGCTCTGCCTCTTTACTCCTCACTGCGTCTTCCTGTCGCTGCCTCCCTGCTGACATCAAGCCTCTCAGCTCCTGCAGCGCCTGCTCCGCCTGCTTCTGCTGCTTTCTTATCATTTCCACCTGAGCCTCCTGTGACTCTGGAAGCCTCTTTGAGTGTGACTGGTTCAGCAGTTTCTCCAGGGCCCTTGTCTCCCAGGGATGTTGTGCCTGGGCCTTTAACCTCCGGAGGTCCTTTGCGTCTAGGTGTTCTAAAGCCTGGGCACAGGTGACGCCAAGATGTTCCTGTAGCTGGTGCAGCCAGTACTCAGGTGCCAGCCCCACTTCTCTCAGCATCTCTTGGAGCTCTTGCCCTCTTTCCCCTGGGAGCTGAGGGTCCTCTGGGGTTTTCCATGCTGTGGCCATGGCTGTGGGAAGATAAAACTCTCAGTTTAGCTGGATTAGGACCTCACAAATTACCTTCCACATGGTCAAAATGGTGAAATGTACTAAGGGTGGTGGTTGGCAGTGTTTTTTTTTTTTCATTTCCACCTGTCATTGTTTTAAGAAATATATTTTATAGCATTGATTAATTTCTTTTTTGTGGAGGGCATCTCTGTAGGTTTTCTCAACATGGATTTCTCTATGCAGTCTGACTTTTTAGCTTCCTTTTCCACAGATTCAAGAGGATAGAGAATATTACACCAAACTTTAGCATTTGAAAATATGCATGAGCCTGGCAACTTTATATTTATTTGAACATAAGAGTGGCACCAAGTATTTTTTCTCTATTAGTTTCTACCAAGCTGGGTTGACTGGTACCCTAGCTCTGGCACTTAATTTTAGATAATTTCATGATATTTATTTATTCTCCTATACTTTATTTTTAAATTTCATTTTTCATCTTTTAATTTATTTTATTTCTTTTTTAAGATTTATTTATTCATGCATACAAGAACCAGGGTACAGGCTAGATGTGCAGGAGGGTGCGAGGATTCACCAGAGACAGAGCGGGGAACAGAACAGGCAGATTGACCGAAATACACTGCTGAGGGGAGCAGCGGGTGACACAGGAGAGGTCTGCTGCGCAGTGTCGGTTTCTTGCCAGCTGGCCGGGATTGAATCTGCGCTGCAGAGGCTGCAGACAGCTTTATACCACTGCCCTCAGCTGCCTGTGCCTCCAGGGGAGACTCTTATTTCTTAATTAATTTTTAAAAATGTTTGGCATTAGAATCTCCTCCATTAGGTATTGCAGCGTCGCCTATACTTTAAAATGTCCTTGAAGATATTTCCATCTAGGTAACATAAAAAATTCCATCTTTTTAGGTCCATTGTCTTTAAACAGCTATGTGAAATTTTATCCACAAGCAAAGTGTCCCTGAGAGATGTGGGTGCAGCACCAAATGCCAAAGGACCTGGGAGAAGTCACGCCCCCTCTGTAGGTCCCATAATAAGCAGAAAACCTTGATATAGACTTAGAACCAGAGGGTAGTTAACCTACCCCAGCCTCTTTCATTATGGCTGGATAAATGTGGATAGTGGTGAACTGTTCAGAGAACTACAGATGAGAGTGAATTTATAGAAGTCCAATCTTTCTGAGCAAATATTCCAGCATGGGTTTGGTGACTGCACTGGTCAGTGCCATGACCTTTCCGGTGGGGCTAAGGAGAGTGTTGACTGAGTGCGTGACTCTCCAGTTGTGTGGGATATGGCTGGAGGTGATAAGAGTTTGGGACAGAGGCAGATAAGAATATCAAAGGTCACTGAAGAGAAGTGATTTCTATTGACTGAGCCAAGGGCATCAGCAAGGAATCCACCCTCGAGCCTCTGGAGAACCTCCGCCATGGATCTCTCCAGTGGTTCTGTGGGTGACTCAAGTCCCCGTCCTTTGGGGTCAGCTGCTGCTACATGCGTTGAGTTCAGCGGGGAGAGCTATTATGATAAATGGACACTGTCAGAAAACACTTTTAGAGTCTGTGTGCTAGGGAGAAAGCACAGCCTTGAGCTATAGCACCATCTTCTGGGAAAGGAAAAGATCATCTTCCAAATGTCATCAGGTGGGTTACAAAAAGTAGAGAAGAAATAAAAGTTTAATAATACTATCACAAGAGACACTTAGGTGGTTTCCATAGTTTAGCTGTAGCAACTAATGCTGCTATAAACATGGGAGTGCAAGGATTAATGGAAGAGCTAAAGAACTTTGGGAAAAGCAGTGAAAGCAGAATAGATGAAATGGAAGAACGAATAAGCATTCTCGAAAACACAGAAATAAGAATAATCAAAACAGAAAAGGAAAGAGAAGTACGAATGAAAAAAGAATGAAGAAAGACTTCAGGAACTATCTGACTCCATGAGGAAAGGAAATATAAGCGTTACAGGAATCCCCGAAGAAGAGGAGAGAGACATAGGAACAGAGAAAATATTCAAGGAAATAATGGAATAGAACTTCCCAAACATGAAGAAAGAGCTGAAAATAGACATACAAGAAGCAAGAAGAACACCAAATTTCCATGATGAAAGAAAAAATACAACAAGACGTGTAATAGTAAAGCTCCCAAGAATCCAAGACAAGGAAAAAATAATGAAGCTGACAAGAGGGAGGAAACAAATAACATACAAAGGAAAACCAATCAGGCTGACATCAGACTTCTCCAAAGAAACACTACAGGCAAGGAGAGAGTGGAGGGACATGCTCAACAAACTCCAAGACAACAAATGCCAACTGAGATACTCTATCCAGCAAAGCTTTCCTTCCTCTATGAAGAAAGAATAAGGACCTTCCCAGACAAACAGAAACTCTGTAATTTCATTACAACTAAACCTCCACTCCAAAAAATACTACAAGTCCTAAAGCCAGAACCATCAGAGTGATGAATAAGAACGAAACAAGACAAAAAAGAAGTTAAAAAATAAATTAGAAAAATAAGTAAATAAAACCAGAGAAAAGACAAACAAAATGGCAAATATAGATGCTAACATATCAGTATTAACTCTGAATGTAAATGAACTAAACTCTTCAATAAAAAGACACAGTTGCAGGATGGATGAAGAAACAAAACCCAACCTTTTCTTGTCTCCAGGAAACACATTTAACTACAAAAGATAAAAATAGACTGAAAGCAAAAGGATGGAAAACAATCCTACAAGCAAATGGACCCCAAAAAGAAGGCAGGAACAGCTATACTTACAACAGATAAAACAGATTTCAAACTCAAAAAGGTAAAAAGAAGACCCAGATGGACACTACATTATGATCAAGGGGACAATACTTCAAGAAGAAATAACACTCATTAACATAAACTCATCAAATGAGGGAGCACCAAAATATATCAGACAACTATTATCATCTCTGAAAACAGACATCAGGGAAAACACATATGTAATAGGAGACTTCAACTCACCACTATCAACAGTGGGTAGATCAAAGATTAGTTGACCATAAATCTGTGGGTTTATTTCTGGATTTTCTATTCTATTCCATTGGTCTGTGTGTCTGTTCTTGTGCCAATACCATGCAGTTTTGATGATTATGGCTTTGTAGTATAGTTTGAAGTCTGGGAGTGTGATGCCTCCATTCCCTTCTTTTTTTTTCAGGAGAGCTTTGGCTATTCAGGGTTTTTGGTGATTCCATATGAATCACATCAATAATTGTTCTATTTCTTTGAAGAATGACATTGAAATTTTGATTGGAATAGCATTGAATCTGTCTATTGCTTTTTTTTTTAATTAATAAATTTTATTTTTATATTCCCCATACAATTGCAATCCCCCCATTCTGACCCCAATCCCTCCCCTCCCGCCCCCCACCCCCAAAAAGTGTCTCTGGTTCATAGTTTTTGTTGATTTTGATTTTCACTTTCTTATAGTTATTCATTTTCCTGGTCCCTTATTTAAGTATTCTAGATTCCTGCTATGAGTGAGACCATCCGGTATTTTTCTTTTTCTTTTTGGCTTATTTCACTGAGCATGATCCCTTCCAGCGCCATCCATGTTGCTGCAAATTGCATGTGTTTATCTTTTTTGAATGCTGAGTAATATTCCATGGTATATATGTACCACATCTTCTTGATCCAGTCATCTATTTTTGGGCATTTGGGCTGTTTCCAAAGCTTAGCTATTGTAAATAGTGCTGCTATAAACATAGGGGTGCAGGTGTTCTTTGGAACTGATGTTTCTGTGTCCTTTGGGTAAATACCTAGGAGTGGAATTGCTGGATCATATGGAAGCTCTATGTTTAGTAGGTCCAGAAATCTCCACACAGCTCTCCATAGTGGTTGGACCAGTTTGCACTCCCACCAACAGTGCAGAAGAGTTCCTTTTTCTCCACAACCCCGCCAACATTTGTTGTTGCTAGTTTTTTTAATATGTGCCATTCTCACTGGTGTAAGATGGTATCTCATGGTAGTTTTGATTTGCATTTCCCTGATTACAAGTGATGTTGAACATTTTTTCATATGCCTGTTGGCCATTTGCATTTCCTCTTCAGAGAAGTTTCTTTTTAGCTCCTCTGTCCATTTTTTGACTGGATTATTTTCTTTGTTGTTGTTGAGTCTCATCAGCTCTTTGCAGATTTTTGTGATCAGTCCTTTATCATTAGTGTTGTGTGCAAAAATGTTCTCCCAGTTGGTGGGGTTTCTCTTTGTTTTTGTTATTGTCTCTTTTGCTGTGCAGAAGCTCTTTAATTTGATGTAGTCCCAGCTGTTGATCTTTGCCTTCACTATCACTGCTTTGGGTGATGTGTCTGTAAAGATGTCTTTGATATGCAAATCACATAGTGTTTCGCCTATATTTCCTTCTATGTATTTTATGGTTTCAGGTCTTATGTCTAGTTCTTTAATCCATTTTGAGTTGATTTTTGTATATGGTGTGATGTCTATTGCTTTTGGTAGGATGGCCATTTTAATAATGTTTATTCTTCCAATCCATGAGCAGGGGATGTCTTTCCATTTCTTTGTGTCTTCTTCTATTTCTTTTAACAGTGTTTTATAGTTTTATAAAACAGTGTTTTATAGTTTTCTTTTATAGGTCCTTTACCTCTTTTGTTAGATTTATTCCCAAATATTTGATTTTTTTTTGTTTTGATAATAAAAGGGATTTTTTTTTGATTTCTTCTTCTTCAGATTTATTGTTTGTGTATAGGAAGGCTACTGACTTTTGCATGTTGATTTTGTATCCTGCCACTTTACTGAACTGATTGATGAGTTGAATTAGTTTTTCTGTGGAGTTTTTGGGGTTCTCTATGTATATTATCATATCATCTGCAAATAGTGATAGTTTGACTTCTTCTTTTCCTGTTTGAATTCCTTGTATGTCTTTCTCTTGCCTTATTGCTCTGGCTAGGTCTTCCAGTATTATATTGAAAAGCAGTGGTGAGAGTGGACATCCTAGTCTTGTTTCAGATCTTTTTTTTTAATATTTATTTATTTAT